ACTCCTTTTATCCCTTCTAACTTTGTTTTATTTTTATAGTCCATTATTATATTTTGAAGTTCTGTTATTTTTACTCCATAAGCATCCCTCTGCTCTTCTATTTCCCTTAACTCCCTTTCTAGTTCCCCAACAATTGTAGTTGTTCTCAAAGCTGCAATTTTTAAACAATCCCTTTTGTCCATTGCTTCCTCCATTTTATTTGTTGTTTCCAAATTATGCTGCCGTAATTCTACAACTAAGTCTATTAGGCCTCCTATTGTGGCTACAACAGCTTGTGTGACCAAACTTTTTCTTTTCTTTGTTCTATACTTTTTGTTATTTACAATTTGTGTTAGAACATCCATTAATCTCTCCTCTTTTTCACTGTCTGGGTTTGCTGGCTCTGGAAGCTCATATGGACCATCATGTTTTTGAATATGTTTCCTAAAGTACTCACGCACTTCTGTGGAAAAGTATTTGGCCCCTTGAAAAGACATTCCTACTCTTTTAGTCACCCAAGTAAGAATCCAAATCAATTTGCGACTAAAGTAGCACGCTTCTGAGTAGCCAACAATAGTTGATGACTATTCAGTAGGCCAGGTGTAATATGTAGAAAAATAGACTAGTACCCACAATGCAAATTATACTTACCTTAGTATGGTGAAGGTAATACTTGCTAATTAACTTCAACACCAATAGTGCCTATTAAAATATAATAGCAAGAACTAGGATATGCAAGACACCCAAAAAGTATAAGGTATGGAAGCCTATAGTGTATTCAAATGCAGCCTGAAATAATATGTGTATATATATATATAAACACAAATATATATAAAAAAAATTAAAATGATTTATTATTTATTTTTCTCTAAGCCTGTACTATGATAAAGGATTAGAGAAAGAAAAAACAAAAAATAAATTTAAAAAACAAAACAAAACAAAATAATAATAATAGTATTAAAATGGAGGTCTGCACTAGGATACAAAGAATCCAATCAGCATCCAAATACAAAAAGAAGCCGCATGGAAGCCTACTATAGTGTATTCAAATACAGGGCTAGGCCTGTACTCTGATAACTCAACTCAGATATTTGAAGCACACAAAAACAACCTGTATGATACCTTTGTTTTATGTAGTAAAATAAGCTAGTACGATATTAAAATAAAATAAAAATGAAGGCCTGAAAAACTACTAGGCCTGAACTATGGTATACAAAACACAACAAATTCAGGTATTTGAAACACACATAAAAAAGCTAATATATTCAAAATTGAGGCCTGATGCCCAAGCTTGTATATTAAAATGGAGGTCTGCACTAGGATACAAAGGAATCAAATTAGCATTCAAATACAAAAAGAAGCCGCATGGAAGCCTACTCTAGTGTATTCAAATGCAGGGCTAGGCCTGTACTCTGATAGTCAAAGCACAACAAAACTCAACTCAGATATTTGAAACACACAAAAACAACCTGTATGATACCTTTGTTTTATGTAGCAAAATAAGCTAGCTAGTATAATATAAAGGATTAAAAACAATAATTGAGGCCTATGCTGGTAGTCTGTTAAAATAAAATAAAAATGAAGGCCTGAAAAACTACTAGGCCTGAACTATGGTAGTCAAAGCACAACAAAACTCAACTCAGATATTTGAAACACACAAAAAAAAAAACTAATATATTCAAAATTGAGGCCTGATGCCCAAGCTTGTATATTAAAATGGAGGCCCAAACTAGACTCCACACACAATTAGTCCTTGATTTCCCATGCAGAGGATAATTAAACAAAGTACTTTTTTTTTCTTCTCCCCCAAAAAATAAATCTGACTATCTATTAATGTGTTATTACCTCATAAATAACCTTTGTAGAAGTCTAAAATTCGTGGTCGCCAAATGTGGTGTATCACCAAATTAATATATATACTACACAAGGTTCGTCTACATTAAAAGGTATTTATTAAAAGTCAACAACACAATATTATAAATGTATCACAAACACACAGCCCAGACCCACGGAGCAACAACCCTTTTTAAATCTATCTATCTATATAGTAACCCCTTACACACACGCTTGATCTCACCCACGGTTAGGCCTTCACATCTAGTAATGGCTCACTGCTGCAAGTTCAACATCACATCCACCAAGGAAGAAAAGGAAGCAACAGAAAAATTTCCTGCCTGGCCTTATGTTATATACCCTTAGTTGAGATGATGTGTTTTACATCACATCCTGTCCATGCATCACTTCCTTTAGCAATTGTGGGAGGGAAGTAAAGATTCTTAGCCCTCCTACCTAGACCTGTTTAAGGAGGTCCTGAAAGGAAGATAAATTACCATGCAAGGAAGACAAGTTACCACAAGCTGTTGCAGCCCTACCTAATTATACTCAAGATAAGGGCCTGGTACAAAAAGATTGAAATCTACCTAATGCAGATTGCAATGCACGCTTTTTTGTTGTTCAAAAAGGCAAACCCTGGGATGCAACTGAGTTTTTTACAGTTTCAGCTCCAGATCATTTCGGAGATTTTGTACCATGATGCACCTGCTCCCCGGGCGGTGATGGGAGAGAGCAGAGTTGGGGCTACATATTTTATTTTTAAAATTCCCCCTTCTGCGGCAGAGCAGAATCCCCAAAAAGATGCAGAGTCTGTTTTAAGAGGGGGCAGAGAAAAGATACTGTCACTGTCCTGATTGCCCTGGACAGCCTGGACTCTGCATTGGGGACTGCTTCAAACAATACCACACACTGGTCCATTATTTTTTTTTTTTTTTTTACATTTGCCGTTCAGTTTTCTTTTTTTGTTACATTTACCCTATTCATGGGGGGCATGGGTGTACAAAGGAGGCCTTGCAGAAAACAACCTGGAGTGTTTTCTTGCAATAACCAACAACAAGCTCTCCTAAATCAGAGTCAAAAAGCAATGTGTGTGTAAAAATTAAAATTGAACAATTACCACCACACACTTTCTCCAATTTGTTTGGCAAAAAACAGTTGCATCAAAGGCATCAAAGCACTCCATATACAATACCTCAGGTTGTCTACATTTCAAATATATACTCTTTAATGGCAATAAATAAAATTGGGGTAGGTGATTAGCCCCAAGCTAAAGATAGGCCTGTCAGAAGAAATACTCTCAATTTCACCTCAAATTATAAGTCATACAATTGTAACTGGACCTTCCCAAAATCCAGGCAAACCTATGCAGGAGGGTATGGGTGTACTAAGGAGGCCTTGCAGAAAACAACCCGCAGTGTTTTCTTGCAGTAAGCAACAACAGGCTCTTCTAAATCACAGTCAAAAAGCAATGTGTGTGTAAAAATGAAAATTGAACAATTACCACCACACATTTTATCCAATTTTTTTACTAAAACAATTGCATCAAAGGCATCAAAACACTCCATAAACAATACCGTGGGGTGTCAACTTTTCAAATAAATGCACACTCATGCCAAGAAAATAAATTGGGATATCTGAAAAGGCCCCTAAAAAGAAGATAGGCAAAGAAGATATGTAAAATTTGAAAAACAGGTCAGACGTTTGGTTTTGCACTTACCAAACAACCCAGCAAACCTATGCATAGGTGGTATCACTGTACTCAGGAGATGTTGCTGAACACATATTGGCATGTTCTCTGGCAGTAACACCTAACAGGAGCTGAGAATCCATGCCTAAAGTAGAATGTGTGTGAAAAATAACACAAAAAAATGACTACCCAAATGTTTGACAGAGACTGGTGGTAGAATTAGTGCATGGAAAGTGTTAAAATACCACCATCTGAAATACCCTAGGGTGTCTACATTTCAAAAATATATGGTTTGATGGGGTAAATTACATTGGCCGGCTTAAAAAATGTCCCAAATGGGACATGGGTGCATGATTACCAGCTGTGAAAATTCCAAGTTGGAAAACTGGAATGAGCACCCTCCAAATAAGGTCTTTTAGCCCCCAGAGAACGCGACACACCTATACATGGGTGGTATCGGTGTACTCAGGAGATGTTGCTGAATACATATTGGGGTGTTCTATGGCAGTACCCCTTAAAGTTCTCAGTACATGTATTCTTAAATTGCTATGTGTCAAAAAATCACCAATTTTTGTATTTATTTTTTTATTTGGCATAGATTGGTGGTAAAATGGTTGCATGCAAAGATTCAAAATACCCCAAGTTTAATACTTTAGGTTGTCTACTTTTAAAAAATATATACATGTGAAGGGTTATTCGGGGATTCCTGACAGATATCAGTGTTACAATGTAACGTTAATTTTGAAAAAAAAACATTTGTTTGGAAATAGCAAAGTGCTACTTGTACTTATAGCCCTATAGTTTATAGCCCCCAAAAAGCTAAGAACATGTTAACATTGGGCATTTCTAAACTCAAAATTTAGAAACTATTTAGCATGGGTGTTTTTTGGCAGTTGCAGATGCGTAACAGATTTTGGGGGTCAAAGTTCGAAAAAGTGTGTTTATTTACTTTTAT